GAGGAAATTCTTGGGGAGGTCCAAGTTGTTAATCTAAGGGAAAACAAAAAGCGATATATGTAAGATACAAATTGCTTTCTTATTTTGTTGTATGTGGAAAACTGATTATGGTCTTTAATGTAAGTTTTTGATTCCATGGTTCAGGGCAAAATTCTCAACAAAGTGTTTCAAGAATGGTGAGATTCTTGTTCTTAGTGGTGAGGCTACAGCTATCTTGCCAACTTTAACGATGGAATTAGTGCGTTCTGAGTTTAAGTGAAGTTGTATTTTGTAAAACAATTCTAGTCTGATTAAACGCATTGAACTCGATGCCTTGCGATTTCCATTGGGATTATTATTATTATTATTATTATTTTGATAAGAATGAGTTATGCAATTGGAGATACATTCTTTTAAAATTTTTTTCACTCATCAAAAGATCTTGGGCATAAACTCTCTAAAAGCCCTCCTACTATTTGTCTTTGCGCCATTAACTTTCTAATATATATCATATTATTGCTGCAATTGGCTTGAAATAGACAAAATACCATGCTAGTATAAATATGGTCCATTTGGATCAATGGAGGTCGAAAAATTTTGCCCAAAATTGAATGGGTTCTCCCCCTCTTGCAAATCATAAATTCTGTGTTTTTTTCTTTTTTTAATAGTTGATGGCCATTATTGGCCTAGATGCATCACTAATGTTTCCAGGGATCAAAGGTACTTATATTGAGAAAATGTTTATTAATATTCCTGAATTTGATTTCTTAATTTTCTAATCTTATGCAGGGAATGGATGATAAAGAAGTCCCTCCTCCGATGACTGATTTCGTGCATCGGAATTTGCTGGGGGCTGCAGTGCATAAGCTATGCCATATGAGGGTCATTTCACCTATTTCTACTTTTGTGATGAATGCCACAGACAAACATTCTCTAACTTTTTGGAACCCCACGAGGCCCACTTAACAATATCATAGCAAACTCCAATTGATGATAGAGAAGTGCAGGCAGAGGTATCCAAGAAAAAGGTTAAAGTTGTTCTTCTGTCAACCCTTTTAGATTAAAAGATGTGATAAAAGGTAATATGGCTTGACACAATATGATCTTTATAATATAAAATATATCAAAACCATCATAATTATTTTTATGGATTCAAATAAATCTTTTATTAGGATGTAATTCATTTTACATTTCTTTAAAATAAAGCATTTCAAACCTTATTCTGGCTTTATAAAATGTTAAGAAATACTTTAAAAAAAAATGTTTTTATGAATTCAAAAATTATCAATAAAATGCACAAACATCATTATAAAATAATAAGTAAAATAAAGCTATAATTTCTTGATTAATATATTAGTCCACACCCTAATTAACATTCATAATTTTACTCTAATAAGTCCTCACCCTCTTGCAACTCATATATTTTGTCTCTTTTTTTTTTTAAATAGTTTATGGCCATTGATGGCCTAGATACATTACTAATGTCTCCAGGAATAAAAAACTAATGTTGAGAAAATGTTTATTAATATTCCTGAATTTGATTTCTTAATTTTCTAATCTTACGCAGGGAATGGATGATAAAGTAGTTCCTCCTCCGATGACTGATTTTGTGCTCCCATATGAGGGTCATTTCACCTATTTCTACTTTGGTGATGAATGCCACAGACAAATATATTCACTACACTTTTTGGAACCCCACAAGGCCCACTTAATAATACCATTAGCAAACTCCAATTGATGATGCATAAGTGCGGGAAGAGGCATCCAAGAAACAGGTTAAAGTTGTTCTTCTGTTATCCCTTTTAGAGTAAAAGGTTTCGAAAGAAGAAACAAAAATAATAATAAAACCCAAGATTTTTTTTCCCCATCTTTTCCCCCTAGGGTTGTGCTGGATGCCAGCAGCAATCAAAATGCACCCAAAAAGAAAAAGAAACTTGAGAAATATATAGCAATATACTGATTGCATTCTTCTCCCAAGAAATATCACATCAGAAAAAAGCAGCAATAGAAAAAGTGACATGGGTGCTAGAATCTAGCCGTCTTGTTCCTCTTCAAGTGAGGGTCACTTATTTGATCAATGATGACAATTGTCCTTCCAGCCCTGTGATGGTCGGCAGTACCTTCATCTACTATTGAACTCTCCCCGGACGGTAACCTCACAAGCCATGTAAAATCATGCAATTTGGCCTTGTATAAGAAAATAATGCCTGTTGACACAAGAAGCAAAATGACCCAAGGAGAAGTGGCTAGGATCGTACCAAGAATTGCCAAAAATTCAACGTAGACAACTGTTTGTGTGTTTGCAGAGGCGAGGCGGAAAATTACCAAGCCAACACCGGTGATCCAGAGAGAGTGGATGAGAATTGAGCCAAGGCGGAAGCCGTGGTTGCTAGACTTTTGAGGCTGCATCTCCAAACTGCTTGGAAGAGTTTATCGCTAAGAGTATCAATTAAAGAAAGGGATATCATGTGCACCAAAAAAAACAGGAGATGAGAATTTTGATTTAAAATTTTTTAAGATACTTTTCAACGGCCTTGGCCCAAGAATAACGGGACAAATCTAAAATAGGATAAAGTCAACTTGGATAGCAAGTTATCAACTTGCTTTTCTGGTTAAGAAATCATAAATTGATATCCAAGGAAATTGTCTTCAACTTGGATAGCAAGTTATCAACTTGCCTTTTTGGTTAAGATTAAGAAATCATAAATTGATATCCTATCAAGTAAGGAAAATTGCTTACACCATAAATTGTAAAAATTAAAAATTATGCTGCCTAAAATTTTTTTTAAATAGATGGAGGAGATTTTGTCATGTCATATATGTATTTCTGAATTCATGACAAATCAGCTGTCACTTTGGAAGAAATAATGTAAAAAGATAGGATTTTATCTTTTAATTACCTTTTAAAGTTAAATTAAAACTGTTTTAACTAGAATTTAAGAGGAGTTGTCAGTTATGGATATGAGTTATTAGATAAAAATACAGGTGCAAAATCTGGAAGGAAGTCTGATTTTGTCAATTGCTGAAGTGTCCCACTACATCAAAAAATTGTCTATGATTTTTGAAACTGCAGAAAGTAGCAAGTTATAGTCAAAAAATAGCGAGTTACAGTTAGAAAAATGAGAATAAAAAGAGAAATTTTGAAAGACAGAACACACAGCCAGCCTTATCCAAAATCTACAAATTTTCAAACTTTCATTTTCTTTTCAATTACTCACAGATTTTGGATTTTAACCTAATTTCCAGTAGAATTAGGTTGTTTTTCATCATTCCAGTAATCAAATTAGTTCAT